ACTTGCATATGGCACTTAATCTCCTTTATGGTAACCTACTTCATCCTGGGCTTTAATTTTGTCTTCCTACTCTAGTTAGGCACGAACATCTCAGTCTGTTTCCTGAGCTTGCATCTATTTCATGCATGTTCTTATGCATTTTTTTTGTCCTATTTCTGCTGCAATTTTTTTTAATTTTAAAAACCTGCATGAACATTTATATTTAATTCTAAAATATGCATTTTTGACACATCTTGGTACAGTGAAATTTGAAAAATAATTATGTTCTTCATAGTAGACTGGAAGATGTGGATCAGGCCAGTTCACACTGGAATTCAAATTAGATGAATTTCACTGGTGTGTCTGTACTGTGCCAACCTCCCCACTATCTACTCCACCTCCCCTCCAGTAACCAACAGCTACCCAAAAGCCAGGAAGATAGCAGCTAGATCCAACCTGGCAAGCAGATTTACTTTCTGAATTTTGGTTAAATGGGGAGAATTGCTAAAGTTATCTGGGATGGAATACAATATGTTTGCTGTAATTTTTCCATTGTAACATATTCTTACAACTATTATTCTACAGTACAGAGCAACAGGGGCAGCAGCAATCATGAGAGAAGCGACAACCAGCTTCACGGTTTTCTCCACGTCGATATTTTTTTTTACATAGGACACACAAACATTGTGATTCATGATCATAGAATCATAGAATCATAGAGTTGGAAGAGACCACAAGGGCCATCGAGTCCAACCCCCTGCCAAGCAGGAAACACCATCAGAGCACTCCTGACATATGGTTGTCAAGCCTCTGCTTAAAGACCTCCAAAGAAGGAGACTCCACCACACTCCTTGGCAGCAAATTCCACTGTCAAACAGCTCTTACTGTCAGGAAGTTCTTCCTAATGTTTAGGTGGAATCTTCTTTCGTGTAGTTTGGATCCATTGCTCCGTGTCCGCTTCTCTGGAGCAGCAGAAAACAACCTTTCTCCCTCCTCTATGTGACATCCTTTTATATATTTGAACATGGCTATCATATCACCCCTTAACCTCCTCTTCTCCAGACTAAACATGCCCAGCTCCCTTAGCCGTTCCTCATAAGGCATCGTTTCCAGGCCTTTGACCATTTTGGTTGCCCTCCTCTGGACACGTTCCAGTTTGTCAGTGTCCTTCTTGGTGCCATCGTGGTGCCCAGAACTGGACACAGAACTCCAGGTGAGGTCTGACCAGAGCAGAATACAGTGGCACTGTTACTTCCCTTGATCTAGATGCTATACTCCTATTGATGCAGCCCAGAATTGCATTGGCTTTTTTAGCTGCCGCGTCACACTGTTGGCTCATGTCAAGTTTGTGGTCAACCAAGACTCCTAGATCCTTTTCACATGTACTGCGCTCATGCCAGGTGTCACCCATCTTGTATTTGTGCCTCTCATTTTTTTTGCCCAAGTGCATTACTTTACATTTCTCCCTGTTAAAATTCATCTTGTTTGTTTTTGCCCAGTTCTCTAATCTGTCAAGGTCGTTTTGAAGTGTAATCCTGTCCTCTGGGGTGTTAGCCACCCCTCCCAGTTATATCGCCATATGATATATCGCCATGTTGAATATTATGAACCTATTACCATGATGTGGACTTTAAACCGATTTTGGACAATGTCTTGATACATCGCTCAACCCTACTGGACCCAGGGGGTTATGTTTATTCCCTGCTGGATTTCAGGTGCAAATCCAAATTGCGCAGAGAAACTATTATTTGGACCTGATACCCCATCCTGCTTTATCCCTATGGCAAATGAAGGTTCAATAATCTCTTTGGCATGGTCAGAATGGGGACTGGGGAAGAAGCACCACCTTCTATTGTCACATAGAAGATTGCATGTGGCAGGAGTGTGCACTGACTACAGGATTTGCTTTGCCCCACCTGATTAAGTGCTTTGGAAAACAGTCCAGTTCAGCTTTGGCCAATTCAGAGGCTGCACAATTCAGATTAGCAATCTGAATTTCCTTTGTTTCCCTCACCTACTGGGATTTCTTTTTAATGGCTATAACTTTTTTTTCTTCATGAAAGAAGTGGGTGAAACTTGCAGGCTGTGTAGCCTGCAGTAATGGATTCACCCCTCACAGAAACCCTCCCTACAATCCTTTTGCAATACGTGGAAAAGTTGCAGCAGGCTTTACTTATCAGAAAAGTCAATACGAAGAGGATTCCCCATTGAGAGAAAATGACTGTCACGGGGCATGAAGCTGAGTCCTTTATATTGTGATTATTCTAATGAAATTCATTTTCTTCCTTTGGCTCTTGCAGCATATCGTCTATTGTCCAGGGGATAATACTTTATTTGAGCCTCTGTAGCAGTCACACATCTGAAAATACATTAAAAATAATAGAATTATAATATTCACGTCTATCATGGCAAGAACAAGAGATGTTTCTCAAGATTGTGGAAATTATGTTTTTGGTAATATGAGGAGCAGACTGGAATATTCCCAACTCAGGATCTAATCATAATTAAACAATATAAACGTCTTTGTTCCATAATATGACTTAAACCAACAGATTTTGTTGGCAATAGTTTCCAAACATATAGCACTAATTAGATTTCTTCAATTTTTCTATCTCTCTGTGACAGATTTCTCAGTTTTTTTGTTTTGACAAGAGTAGGCGGAGAGGGAACCCAGACATAATGTTAATGTAATGCCCTCTGGCATTTTTAATCCTTAAAATTCAAAAGGGATTGTCAGCATCACATAGCTGGCAAATGATAAATAGCAAAAATAACAATGATGCACATTTTGTTTTCTTTCAGTAATTTAAAAATGGATGTACTTTGAGACAAGGTCTTTATAAGCCTTTAAAGCAGTAACTCTTAAAACTAGACGTGCTTGCAAATTCCAGTATGAACTGACACTTCCCAAGTGTCTCACTAATATTCTTGACTAAAGGCTCATCCATACCTAAGCTTAATGGGGGTTGTGTACCCCTTGTGACTCCTTTAATTCCTCTTCATTTATGTGGTGTTCTCCTTCACTACTTCTCTTCCTAAACCCAGAGAGCCCCCGCCCTTTGAAAACCCAAATACGGTAGCTACATGGATTGCATAGGGAATCTCTGGATTTAGGAAGTGGCCTAGTAGGCAAATAAGTTTGCTCGTCGGTTTGTTTGTTTTTAAAGAGGAGTAAAGTGTTCTCTGTAACTGGTCCCAGTCAGCAGTCTGTCCACATCATTTTGGACCAGGTGAAGCTTTTATACAGCTTTAGTATCTGTTGATTCTAATGAGAAATAGTCTGAACAGAACTTCCTGGAGCAATGAGTGGGTCAGGACATACTCATCTTTTCAAATTTTTGCTTTTGTCTGAAATTTGTGATAGAGTTCTTGGCTCAAATAATGTAGAGAAATGCATTACAAGATGTGTTTTTTGGGGTTAAGAAGGCCTGGAAATGTGTCCCTTGAGATAAAATAATTATAAATACAAACTTTCATAAGAAATTCCTTTTTTTAAAAAAACAAACAGATTAATGAACAAGCTATGCAAAATGGACATAAATAGGAAACAAAGTGACACCTGTCCATCCGTAATAGTTTTTTATATATTTTTAGGCTTGCTACTGATCTTTCAAATTCTCTGGCATGCTTATTGTATGCTGATTTGACCTAACCAGCTATATTTTTGGCTTCTTGTCTCCTGGGTCCATACAGAAAGGTTTCTCATTCTCTCTCTTAAAAAAAAAAAGAGTTTATCCCCCTCTCCAGTCCTGGAATTTTTCATGGTATGATGAAGAAAGAGAGAAGGTAAAAGTCACAGAAATACCTATTTATTCAATCTGTATTTAATTGAAACCCTGTGGAACTTCTAGGGTGTCAAGGCACAGTGGAAGCTTTTGTTTCACTTCACATGCAAGTCTGCCACCTTCTAAAATGGTTGTTTTTACAACGTGCAGAGTGACATGACCTAATGTCCTTGTCTACCTTAAGCCTAACAGAAACCAGGTGGTGTGCATTAGGAGAGGAAACCTTGAGGATCTTGTTGCCCAGGGTTCATTGCAATAAATTAGAAGCAACTGGATCTTGACAGAATGCAGATTTAAAAATAAAACAAAAACTCCTCTGGTTTGGGTATCAAATAGTAATGGACTCAGCTGATAAGGAAGACTGGCTGAAATGAAATGAAAACAAATGCTTAATGAGAGGAATTAAAACCAACAGCCCATACTTGATTTCAAAAGAGCACATGCAAATCTTTTCACGAGCAGTCTCTAATTCACCACATTTCTGATCAACCGTGCAATTCTATACATACCTATGCAGCAAAAAGTCCCGCTGATTTCAGAGGGGCTTACTTAAAATACGCAGTTATAGGATTCCCGCATAAATACAGGTGGTGGGAAGCTAATAACTTCTCAATCTAATAATGTAACTTTTTAATAATTGTTTGTGTATTTGCAATGTCCCTGTTTGAAAGCATAAGACAGCGCCTTTATCAGGAATTGAATCTGATATAATTAAGTTACCGCAAAGTATTCTCTACAAGGCCAACCCCTACTGATCTGAAACAGTGAAAGACCAGGGCTCAGTAGAAAGGAATAATTACTGAATTGGATAAAGTCCCCTGTGACTTTTCTAAGTCACTTGCAATTACAAATTACCTGGTGTCTCATGCTATAATGCTGACGCCATTTTTAAAGAGGTTCCACCTTGTACGGTGCAGAATCCTCGGGAGAGTACATGACACAGTGATTCAGAATGGCAGGAAAATCTTTGAATATGCCTTTTCATATAGCTTTTTTTAAAAAAAGTTCAGAAGCACAGCAGCCTCAGTTACCTTATGTTCTATGTTTAAATCTCAGCCACATTAAATTCCCCCCTCCTCTCATTGTACAGTTTCCAAATTAGTTATTCAAAGTGTTTGATAGTATTGTAGGAAGCTGCTTTCTACTGAGTCAGACCGTTGGTCCATCTTGCCTAGTACAGTCAACTGTGTCAGAGGCATTCCAGGGGTTCAGACATGAATTTCTCCTAATCCTTCCTGGAGATGCCAGGAATTGAACCTGGGACATTTTGCATACAAAACATGTGCTCTACCACTGAGCTATGGCCCTTCCCCTTTAAGGCACATCTGTTTTACTCCCCATAGGTGCCATTTGAAGACTGCAATGGCCTGTTGCTATATTGTTTTATGCATTGAACATTCTCCACTTGTAGTCAGTTTTGTACATTTCCCATTTGAGCTCCATCTGTTCCTACAGCCAATGTGTGGGAGGGTCAGAGAATCAGAGAATCAGAGAATCAGAGAACTGTAGTGTTTGAAGGGACCATGTGGATCTTGCAATGCAGGAATCTTTTGCCTAATGTGGGTCTCGAACCGACTGCCCTGAAATTAAGAGTCTTGTGCTCTACTGACTGAGCTTTTGGATGGCAGCCAATGCTAGTCTTGCTCAGGAATTAATGGGGCCAAGTTAGTCATGCTCATTACTGTCAATGGGTTTACTGTGAGTAGACCTTAATTGGATATAAATTTGTCTAGCTTTCAGTCAACCGATCACCGGACAGATATAAAAATACATTTCCCTATTAAAAAGCAGTGTGCATGTTGGAAAATGTCTATTGCAGCCTTTGCGTGGCAAGACCCTCAAGCCGACCCCCCCATTAGGATAAATAAATTCACACGGACACAGATATTTTGTTTAAGGTTTTTAAAGGTTTTGTTTAAGGGCAAAAATTTGGCCACAGCTTCATTGATTACAGGAATGAGAGCGGTATTGGCTTAGGCATTGGCAAGAATATATCTGACTCCTGTCCCCTTTGCAGGAAGTCTGTAAGGGTAAACCACCCAAATGGAAATTGCTTCGGGGAAACCCGCCTGCATCTCCCCTGGTGTTCCTGGAGGCCTGGCATGGCCCTCACCCTTCAAGTGGACTTTGGACAGGAACCAGGCCCCGGCTTCCTTTAGTGGAATACCCTTGAAACTGGAGGGGCAGGTGATGGCCAACCTCCCCTCCCCCATTCACCATAAGCCAGTGCCTTACCACCAAACCTTACAAAGTTGTGACGATTGCTAAGAGGTAGGCAAAAACCAAGTGGCCCATGCCAATTTGCCAAATGGAAAAATTTACCTGGCCCCTGACTCAAGCCGGGCTACCAACCAAAGTCCAAAGCAAGGCCAAAGGATCTAAATTAAAGGGAGGGTGGGTGGGTGTTCAGCAGCGCGAAGCAGAAGCCTGGCACACGTCGCGCTGTTGCTTTTATACTTCCCCCCACTATCAACCTTTGACATGATTGGACAATAGCACTGGGTAATTGTGGTGCCACCCCGGCGTGAGTGCGATAGCTCCACCCACGCCAGGGTGGGGGGAACCAGGTTGAGAGCCTGCCTGCAACCAGGACCATCTATTAAGATGATCCCATTTACCAACCTGGTTTCCTCCAGAGACTTTGGACTACAACCTGCATCAGCCTCAGCTGGGGTTGAGGGGAGCCCTCCAGATATTTTTGATGACTGTTGTACTATTTTTACTGTGGCACAGATGTCCTCCTCTCGCCTGCAGCATTCATTTAAACATTTTGTCATTCTGTTATTTAGGGGCAGACACTATGGGACAACTCTTGCTAGATGCCTCCCATTTTTGCTGCACTGTGGCAAAAATATTCCTCCTGTGTTCCTCCAAGAACGGAACAATAAACTCTTATATCCCATGCTTAGAAAGCAAATCATATTTAATTTAAAATCATTGGTACAAATTCCTGAGATGTGTATCCATTTTCTTAGTAATAGCCAGATATGTTTCAGTGCCTTATGCTGGACTCTCTTCAAAGCATGCTGTATTTTTCTAGTATTTCAATTTGGTCAGTCATTGCATATCTGAACAAATAAGAGGAGGGGTTTCTTCCCCCCGGTGAAAAAATAAACACAGTTCAAAAGTTTGAATCTGATTTATATGCCGCTGGGCAGGATGGAGTCTAAAGGCTTGAATTTATTATAGCTATGTTAGGTGTTTCCTGATGTTAGATGTGCAGACAGGCTGGTGTTGATGGAGGTTGTCAGCTCAGCAGGAGAAAAATGTAAGTGGGTTGGAGATCCTGCTACTAATGTAAAACAGATTCTTAATAATAGTCTTGCTTCAGTGGGGCATTCACATGGAATTTGGTATATTGCAGCAGTTTTGGAGGCTTTGCTGTTTGGCTGGTGAAAAATAGGTAAAATTCTTGTGTGCGCAAATGTTGCTGATTTGTGGTTTATTATGTAGCTTAATGCTGCTGCCTGGAACTACTTTTCTGAAGTGGGATTTCACATCAGAGCCATGTAGAGTCCACACATCCTGTGATTCCACCAAGTACTAAATATTGCATGTATCATCTTGACATTCCCTAACGCCTTTATAGATTATGTCCATTATTACGAGTGTGGGGGACCTTTGGCCCTTCAGATGTTGCTGAACTACAACTCCCAGTTTCCCTGGCCATTGGCCATTCATGCTATGACTGGTGGAACTTGTAGTTAAGCAGCATACAGAAGGCCAAAGGTTCCACTATCCTAGGGTTGCCATATGTCCAAAATTTTCCAGACATATATGGAACAGTGTAGTCAAAGTAGTATCTGGACAGAAATTGCTAAAAACGTATGGAAACCCAGGTTGGCCATGTCGTTTGGGGCAATTTCCCTTAAAAATACATTATTCTATCCCTGCTCAGTCGTTGAGGTCTTCACATGAGTCACTGTTTGTGGTCCCCCATGGCTCAGATGCAAGTCTTGTATTAACCAGGCACTGCACATTCTGTATTGTGGACCCGATTTTATGGAATTACCTGACAGCTGAGGCAAAACAGGTTCTCTCCCTGTTGAACTTCCAGTGCATACTGGAGCATATATTTTTTTTATTCCAGCCAGCATTTAACTGAATTCTGATTTTATAATTATAACATATTTTTTTGTACTGAGTTTTGTTGTTGTTGTTGTTTGCTTTAGGCTATTGTAAGTAAGCAATACAGGGATGCGGGTGGTGCTGTGGTCTAAACCACAGAGCCTAGGGCTTGCCAATCAGAAGGCTGGTGGTTCAAATCTCCGCGACGGGGTGAGCTCCCATTGTTCGGTCCCAGCTCCTGCCCACCTAGCAGTTCGAAAGCACGTCAAAGTGCAAATAGATAAATAGGTACCGCTCTGGCAGGAAGGTAAACGGCGTTTCCATATGCTGCTCTGGTTCGCCAGAAGCGGCTTAGATCTGCTGGCCACATGACCCGGAAGCTGTCTGCGGACAAATGCCAGCTCCCTTGGCATATAGAGTGAGATGAGCGCGCAACCCCAGAGTCATCCGCTACTGAACCTAACAGTCAGGGGTACCTTTACCTTTTTAAGTAAGTAATACAGAAATCGTTGAAATAAAATAAATAAAATAGATGCAACAATGAGCTTGAAAATGTGGCAACGTGTAGTATAGGCTGAGAAGCCACATTTAAATACAGCATTCAAGCGTAGGCACGGAAAACCATTGTTTGGCTAAGGATTGTGGTTGGCTCCAGCCCCCAGGTGTCTGTGCACAAAAAACTAAGTGACCTCTTGTGGACCCCTCTTCCATTTCTGTGCCCCCCTTGGGCTTATTAGGCAGCAATGCTCTGAGCAACATTGCAAAAAGCACCAAGTGGCTGAGGCTAGCTGCATTCCCATACTGCCCTCGAGTGATACTGCACCAGGGACATTTTGGAAAATTAAACTGGGCAGCTTTGTTTAGTCGTTTAGTCGTGTCCGACTCTTTGTGACCCCATGGACCAGAGCACGCCAGGCACTCCTGTCTTCCACTGCCTCCTGCAGTTTGGTCAAACTCATGCTGGTAGCTTTGAGAACACTATCCAACCAAAACTGGGCACCTAGACCCAGTCAAAAAGCACTTCAAGCATTAGAAGCGGGCCCTGCTCAAGCAATAGGGGCCATGGCAGCTGCCCAAGGATGCCAGGAGTATGCAACTCCCCAAATTAGGTTCTGAGACTTTGCTCTGTATCCCCCACCAAGCTGTCAAATTGGCTGGATTCCACTTCCTCACCCCTGGCCTAGATGCTACTAATAGCTCACCTATCTACCCCCAAAGCCAGAAGGAGGCTGAACAGAACTTTACTAATGTGGGGCTTCAGTGCTCCTATTCAGGAGGTATATGAAGCTGTGTAAGAAGTTACACAATTTTTCAAGTATTGCCCAAACTGACAGGCAGGAATTCTCCAGAGTTTTAGGCAGGAGTTGCTAATTTTGCAAAATATATCAAAATTCATTAAGTAAAGAGAGCTAGAGTTGAATTCATCATGAATTAGTTGCCCTACCCTTGGTGGGGGGAACATGCTAATGATGTGCCAGTTATAGGAATGGATTTCTGTTTTTCTATGTTTCTTATTTTTCCAATCTTAAATTCAGCTCTCTACATTTCTGCAACAATCTGTGAGGATTAAAAAAAAAATCCTCATGAAAATTCACCAGCATTTTAGTGGCAATTTCATTAAATAGATGGTTTTATTTTTATTTTTAGAAATATACACATTTGGGCAAGCATTCCCCCCCCCAAATAAAACATTTATTGTATATTGTTTTCACTATTGTATGTGCGGCTATTCCTTTTTTATGTGCAGCTTTCGCCAGTGTATGCATTTTGTACATGTTATTTGGCTGGAAAACTGCATGACAAAAATCAGAGGAGGTTGAAGTTTGAAGGATAATTGTGTATTGGTTCATGGATTGGTTTGAGAAGTGCAAATTGGGTAGTTTCTCATGGACATGCAAATAAAATCCATTTTCTTCCTCATCCCTAGCAAGTCATTAAATGCTTTTTGTCTGATGCATGTACTGAAAATGTTAGGATCCCATTGGATCAGTCATGGTTTATAAATGGGCGAAACGTGGGAGGGCAATATCTGTAATGAACAGCAGTGAAAATCAAGCATAGAGGTTGGAGGTGAACAGGTCCTGGAGCTCAGATGTCTGATGGGTTTAATGAAAAGCACATGTTTCACAAATTATTATTTTTTTCTACAAGACATGTGTTTGAAAAATAGCTATTTTTAGAAAGTTTGTCTGCCCTTTGGAGTTCATGTAAAGTTTATACATCCAGCTTCATAGTCTAT